GTAGAGGGGGTTAATGGGGGGGGAGGGGCATATCTGTAACATTTTCAACAATAAATTTTAAATAAAACTTACAATTTTTTTTAAAATGTCAGAGACAATTTTGAAAAACTGTAGGTGATCAAGCAATGGAGTACATTTTAATTTTTATTATTTTTTATAAGTATAATGTATAATCTTTTTTAGGGTAATTTTTTTTCTTTATTTTTTTGTTGACATTATTACAGATGTCCTCCAATTCCCAATTTGCCCACCTCCACCCAGTCCCACCTGCTGGCCCTCTGGCTATTGTGGCTATGAAATATAGTTATTTTCTTTTAGAGGAGCAATTCTTCCTAGCTGTCAATTCAACCTCAATATAAAAAATTGATATATGTATTGAAAAATGACAGTATTATTGAAATAAATGTATACTCTCATAAAATGACCATTCTGAAGTTCATCCCGATTTATGTTTTGAAGTTCAGATATTTGTTTAAAATTTTGTAATAGAACTTACAAGCTATTACTAGATCACATTTTCACACTCACATTTCAGAGCCAATCCCTGTAGAAAAAGCACTTTAAATATTATTCTTTCATTAGAACCTATGTTACAGGTACTACTAATATTTTCATTTTACAAAGACACCAAAGCACAGGAGAAATTAAGTGATGAAGACAGGACTGAAATTCAGGCAGTCTTATTTCAGAGCACTGCAAATATTAAATGAGTTAATACTTGGTAAGCACTTACAATGCCTATTATGTGGCAAGGCAATCAATGAAAGTTTGATAGTATTACTGTGCATTCCTGGTAAACTGAAATTACTAAGCTCTCCTGATAGGGCAATTCATCCTTAAGTTGAGCATTCTGTTAGTTATCTACCAAATAATTAATCTTAACTAATTATAATTTCTTACATTATTGTTATTATTACATTTCTTACATTATGGTTATTATTAATATTTTAAAACATATCCTAATTACGCTCACAGAACAAAGTAAGTAAAAAGGCAAAGTGAATGAAATCAGGTAGGAGTTTTGTTTTGTTTTCCCTCTCCTTGATCAGGAACCAACATCTTCACTAAGAACCCCACAGCTGATCTATACTGAGAGACAGTACAGAGAAGGTCTGCGACCCTTGACTCTTAAACTGTATCTGGGGGGAAAAAACTGTAATTGGGGAAAAAAATAGGGAGACAATAGCAAAAAACAAAAATATATAATTAATTGACTTAACCATGTCTTTATAATTTTAACATATATTTTAACATATGTATTACTGTGTTACATCTAATATAATATGTTGCTTTGATACTAAGCTGAATAGCTACAAAATTAAAATATTTAAGACAAAAGTACTAAAATTAAATATATTACTTACCAATAAAGATAAGGCTTATCCTTATCAACATTAATGTTATTTAATGGATCCATACGAAACCAAGTGTTTAGGGTGAAGCCATTCTGATAAGGCCACTTTGCAATAGGAGGCAATGCAATTGCCTACAAGGCAATAAAAAAGATACAAAAGTATCAGTTAAAGAAAATGTGATGGAACCCTAAGTCAGACACTGATTTTACAGATTAAAAAATAGTGGAGGTACCAATATCAGAAAATCATGGCAAATATAAAAATAAAAACTATCATCTTATTAAAATAATCTATAAATATGATTTGTTGACTACAGAAGCATTGCATTTCAAATACTAGCTGAATGAAGTTTCATCTCCAGGTTACATAATAGGTTTCAGACTCCAAGAAGTTCTCCTCAAGTATATATATATGCCTCAGAATTTTCAGTTTTCTAAGGCTTTTAGTAATACTTCATTTGATTAAGGGAGGTTGAATCTCTAAATTCAAAAACAACTGTGTAAGAGAATGTTAATGGGATGAATATTGAAGAAATTTAAGTATTAAGAGGTAATGCTCCTAATAGTGAAACAAAGGAGAGGAAAGCATTTGATTTATTATTAAGAAATTAACCAATATAATTTATGACTGAAAGGATTCAGATTTACTACGTAAGTAGGAAAGGAATAGTACAGTATTCATTTCACAATAGTAATAAAAAAAATCTAGCCATTCTAAGGAAAAATTGAGAAAGTGGTTCATTACTTGATCTGATGTGAACAAAACATCTGAGTGGATTTATTTACCTTCCTATGAGATATTCAAATTCTTATCACATAAAAAATAATTATTCATTACGATTTAATTACTGATCTGTCCCCCAAACAGATCTTTCATATTGCTGAGTGGACAATGACCTTTCTCAAATATAACGTAACTTCAATATTGAAAATCCTCAGCACACAGAATAAAGCTTAAATTTCTTCAGGTTATACAAAATTCTTCAAGCACCCCACGGCTCCAAAAAACCCTTTCAAACTTACTCACTTCTACTATCTTACTCCACATTCCAAAGTATGCCTAAATATAACAGCTGCCACACCTGTTATAACTTCCCTTTTTGTATATGGCACTGCTTCTGTCCAAAAGATTTCTTCCAGCAAAATCACAAGCATCCCTCAACACCAGGATCTTCTGTGAAGCTTTCCACCATAGCTTACTCTTTTCATTGTTTTCTCATAGCACTTAGTACATAAATCTACCGTTGCTTATTATAACAAGCTGTTTTTGAATGTGTCAACCCATTAGAGTTTCTCATGAGTAAGGAATATAATTTAGACTCTGAGCATGTGAGAAGACAGAAAACATTCATTATGTGGTCAACTGAAAAATACCAAAGATTTATAAGTGCTTGCTTTAAAAATAAAAATAAATAAGTGGTGCTGGGAAAACTGGACAGGTACATGCAAAAAAATGAAACTAGACCACCAACTTTCACCATACATAAAAATAAACTCAAAATGGATAAAAGACTTAAATGTAAGTCACAAAACCATAAAAACCCTGGAAGAAAACACAGGCAGTAAAGTCACAGATATCCCACATAGAGGAATTTTCACTCATACATCTCCTAGGGCAAGAGAAACAAAAGAAAAAATAAACATATGGGACTACATCAAACCAAAAAGCTTTTGCACAGTAAAAGAAAACAGCCTCAAAATACAAAGGAACCACAGTCTGGGAAAACGTATTTGCAAAGGATGTATCTGATAAGGGGCTAATTTCCAAAGTGCACAGAGAACTCATAGCACTCAGCAAGAGGAAGACAAACAACCCAATTAAGAAATGGGCAAAGGACTTGAATAGACATTTCTCCAAAGAGGACATGTGGATGGCCAAGAGACACATGAGAAAATGCTCGACGTAGCTAATCATCAGAGAGATGCAAATTAAAACCACAATGAAGTATCATGTCACACCTGTCAGAATAGCTGCCATCAACAAATCAACAAACGACATGTGCTGATGAGGATGTGGAGAAAGGGGAACCCTAGTACACTGCTGGTGGGAATGCAGACTGGTGCAGCCACTATGGAAAACAGTATGGAGGTTCCTCAAAAAGTTAAAAATGGAGCTGCCTTTTGACCCAGTGATTCCACTCCTAGGAATGTATCCTAAGAATCCTGAAACATTCATCAGAAAGGATATATGTACCCCAATGTTCATAGAAGCACAGTTTACGATAGCTAAGATCTGGAAACAGCCCAAGTGCCCATCAGTAGATGAGTGGATAAAAAAGCTGTGGGACATTTACACCTTGGAATACTACGCAGCTGTAAAGACGAAGAATCTCATACCCTTTGGGACAGTATGGATGAACCTGGAGAAAATTATGCTAAGTGAAATAAGCCAGGCAGAGAAAGACAAACATCACATCATCTCACTTATATGTGGAATCTACAGAACTTAATCAACTGATGAACAGAATAGATTCAATGGCATGGAAGCATAGATCAGACTGATGAATATCAGAAGGATGGAGGAGGGCGGTGGGTGGAGGAGGAGAGATTAACCAAAGAATTTATATGCATATATGCATAACCCANGTGGAGGAGGAGAGATTAACCAAAGAATTTATATGCATATATGCACAACCCAAGGACACAGACAATGGTGGGGAGAGGGACTGGTGAGGGGGATGGGATGGGGTATAATGGTCACTGGGGAGAAAAAGGGACATCTGTAATATTTTAAACAAAAATAAAATTTAAAAAATAAATAAAAATAAAACAGAAACACACACATAAACACATAGATATACACACAATTTCAAATAAAGAATAAAACCCTGAAAAATAAAATAAAAATTTCCCATACAATGTCCTTTCAGATTTTAATGTTTAAACAATCAATTCAGGAAATTTAATCATCAATATAGCTTTTATTGACTTTTAAAAAAAGAAAATATTTTACTTTGTTAATTTTTTGTTTGCTAGTAAAGCGCATTTCTTGCTCAGTTTACCACTAGCTAACACCTCCATAGGTTTCACTAAACCACACTTCACTTACTATAGCTGCTTTAGAGTACCAACATAAACTGGAGAAATAATGATTGAGGACACTGAAAAGCAAAATGAATCTATGGATTTATATAAAGTACTTAGGGAACATTTTAATTTGTTCTTAACACCTGTGGAACACAACTGGCACCGGGTTAGACTCATGATTTTCAACCTTTTGTCAAGACCAGCACACCCTCAGTGCACTTCCCTATCAGCAATGGGGGCTCATTACAGCAGCATCACTAGAACATTAAAAAGCTTTCAGGAGTGCCACCTATTCTTTCCTTTTTCCCATTACTCCAAATACCCATGCAATCTCTTATACTTAACCAATGGCCTTATATCATCAGTCTCATCATCCAGTCTACTGGGCCCTACATTAGAACTTAAGCACTGTATTAAACTAGGGGATACAGGAAAGAATTTGAGACAAGCTGTCCTTCAAGTTTTCCAGACCTACTCTTCAACCAAGAAAAGACATACGGTCTAAGAGACCATTTGTTATTATTCTCATGATAGGCCTGAGAGAGCCCTAAATCACATGCAGTTGCAAACGGTGAACCAAATACAACAGAAAAAAAGAAAAAAGTTCGGAAAAGAAGAATCTGAGCTTGAACGATAATGAAACTAAATAGTCTTTGGTCTTGCTACAACTGGTACCAAACACCTGAGAGGTTCTAGAATAGCATTTTCGTCAGTTTCATTGTGGACTTCCAATAATTCCATGGATAAATAAAGATCTTTATTTTGACCAGTATCTTCAATAAAATTATGAGACAGTCTCTTATATTAAATGATGGAATAAATGTTTTAGGGACCTGAAATCTCCCATTTCCAGAGGGTATTCATCAACCTCCTGTTTCTAGTTATGTACCAACAACCAAAGCCTTCTACACAGTGCATATAGCCTTTTTCAACTCTTTTTAACTAATACATTTCATATCCCCTAATCAATGCATAACAGCTAACTTCAGATAGTACTGCCTGGTATGGAACCCAGGCCTAATTACTTTCAAACCATTTTTGCCTAATCTTATCACCAATTTCCTAGGTTCCTTATATTTTCTTTGATTCCCATGGTGTTAATAGCATGCCCTTTGAACTACTTTTGTGATTTTGGACTTAAGCTGCCTTCACATCACCTCCAAATTTCCTTGTACAATATTTTGGTACCCACAATTGGGTGTCCATCATTGTGCCCAGTGAGTCCACAGGACCCCAAACCTCTATCCCTCACTTTTTCTTGGTCTAGCTGACCCCAAAATCTATGTTCTTATCTATAATAAGTGGCAAAAGAAATAATTTTGATGTTCAGATGTGGTGTTTTCAGTAAACTATTTCAGAGAATAGAAAAGTACAGTATTTCCTAAATTAAGCAGATTATGAAATGGATCACAATTGTAAATAGCAAATCTAAATAATATATCCATATCGGTCACAGAGTACACATTTCATTCACCTTTACATAAAATCACTGTCAAATGCAATTAACTCTATGAATGAGCAAATGTTACCAAATCCCTTATATGGAGACAGTATAGCTCATAGGCATCTCCACAATACAAAACACAATTCAGAAGGCCTAGTATATATGATAACTTTGGGAAAAAATAAGCAGTGTCATAATTTTAGTTATCCTAAGGCACTGCTAGCAGCAGTGGCCCAAACAATATGCACCTTCCTGTTATTAAGATGCCACTGGTTCATGCTCATTCAGAAGCATTTTATCAGAAACAGTGTAATGGTAAAGTTTTTAAAATCAGCTCCTATCTGAATTTTTTAGCAGTCAATAGCAGAAGTAACATGCCTGTAAATAAGCCAGTCTGTTGTTAAATAAAACACTGAATTTATGGTCAAGCAGATTCTGGTTCAGGTTGTGACTCTGCTTTATAATTCTGAACAAGGTTACATTGTTGAGGCTCAGTTCCCTCAACTGATGTAACGATATCATTTATATAGCTAGTGCGACTCAAATGAAATGATAGTTGTAAAACTTCTAGTTCCTTCCAGACTTCTTCCTCTACAAAGGATATATTCTTGATCCAAACTACCCGTCATAAAGATGAGTGATACAGGGAAAACCAGGTTGGGGATATGTGGGGTAAACAGCGTAAATCCATCAAATCTGTGAACAAAAACATTCAAACATGCACTACTAATAACATATAAGTAAAAAAAGTTTGTGTGTGTGTGTGTAAAATTCATTACATATTGATAAAAATATTCACAGGTTTTACGCATTTGGTAGTCAAGTGACTAAAAACAGAATGAGTTGCAACCTAACTCAGGCAATTAAGGCAATATATTAAAACAGTTATTCACTCTGTTTTACCTCAATTTTGTTAATTCCATAATAAGACAGCAACTTGCTTATATTTCTCTCAAAACACTTTGCTCTTCTTTCCAACCCTTTAAACTGATATCTACCAGATGTCAGGCCAATAGTAGTTTTAAAAAATTAAAAATGTATATATGTATGGAAATAAACTATTACATCTAAGAGAACCCCTATGCCCTTAGAGTCAATGATAGTGTTTTCTCTGCTAAGTTCCACAATGTACATTTTATGTGTTCTACCCTAACAATATATTTACGATTAACTTCCAACTGGAAATTGATTTTGAACTTTCCTATTTTTATTCTGCAATTTGTGGAAAGTATAACTTTAAAAAAAAGGGTTAGTAACAAAATATTAAGGCAAAATTTTTAAATTAGGAGAATGGTTAACCAAATGGAAGATTGCAAGTACATTTAAGTACTAATAACCAAAGAGTGTTTAAGTGGTATATTACATCATTACAAGTTCATAACCCTATTCCATAATAAAGTGCTAATATTTTATATGAAAGTCAAGAAACATTAAGGGACTAGTCCTCCACAGTAATGAACTAGAGGATTCAGAAATCAAAACCAGTTTTTCTAGACAAAAATTATACATAGTCTATACAATGCTACTATCTAGACAAAAATGATGAAGTCAAACAGATTGAGAGAGCTAGTTCTTTGAAAAGAACAACAAAATGGAAAACTAACAGCTAGACTGACTGTGGGGAAAATACAGTGTCAGTAATAAAAGAGACAGTACTATACATATCCTACAGACATTAGAAGGATAGTAATGGGATATGATGAACAAATTTATGCCAATATATTCAACAACTTATTTTAACTGGACAATTACTAGAGAGACACAAAATACCAAAACTCACTAAGAACAAAATAGAAAACCTCCCTGTATCTATTATAAAAATTAAGTTCGTATTTTAAAACTTCCCCACAAATAAAACTCTAAACCCAAATGGCATCAATAGTGGATTCTACTACACATTTAAGAATAAATAATATCTAATAACAAGTGGAGGAGAGGCTGTGGAGAAAAAAGAGCCCTCATTCACTGCTGGTGGGAATGTAAACTGGTACAGCCACTTTAGAAAACAGTATGGAGATTTCTCAAAAAATAAAGAATAGTTACTACATGACCAGCAACCTCTCTTTTCTGTATCTACCTGTAACATCTGAAAACATTTCTTTGTAAAGATATATGTGCCCATATGTTTACTGCAGCATTGTTCACTGGAGCCAAGATATGAAAACAACCAAAATGTTCTTTAATAGATGACTGGATAAAGAAGTGGTACACATATACAATAGAATACTACTCAGCAATAGAAAAAGATGAAATACTGCCATTTGTGACAACATGGATAAATTGAGAATATCATGCTAAACAAAATATGTCAGATGGAAAAAGTCAAGAATCATATAATTTAATTCATATAAAACAGAGAGCAACAAATGAACAAACAAAGAAAAATCTGATAGACACAGACAACTGTATGGTGGTTACTAGAGGAAAAGGGGAGCAGGGGAGGTTGTAAAAGATAATGGGTTTCAAATATACAATAAAAGAAGATCTGACTTTGGGTGGTAGACACACAATGTAATATACAAATCATGTGTTATAGAATTGTACATCAGAAACATGTATTTTTTAACCAATGTCACCACAATAAATTTACTAAAAAAAATTTTAAATAAAAAGTAAAAAAAATTCAAAAATAAAGTTTGTTTCATGTAAAAAAAAGAATAAGTAATATCAGTTCTACACAACTCTTCAATAGAGCAAAATAAATACTTCTTAACTCATTTTATGAGGAATTACCCCAACACCAAAACCAGATAAAGATATTACAGAAAAAGGAAAATACCTCCCAAATCATTCATTAGAAATAATTGCAAAATTTCTTAGCAATATGTTAGCAAACCAAATCCAGCATTATATAAAAAGGTTAATACACAGTGATCGGGAGTTTTTAACCAAAAGAATGCAAATGTTGGTTTAACACTGAAATATCAATCATTGTAATTCACCACGATTTCAATAAAATGAGAAAAATCATGTGACAAAATTCAATACTGATATCAACATATTTATGACTTTTTTAAAAACCCAGGAAATAGGAATAGAAAGGAATTTCCTCCTCTTGACAAAGGAGATGACTTAAAATCTACAACAAATATCATACTAATGATGAAATATTTAATGCTTTCCCAAGACTGAGAATAAGTCAAGAATGTTATTTTAACTCAACATTGCACAAGAGGGCCTAGTCAGTGCAATAAGTCAGTAAAATGAACTAAAAAGGCATACTGATTATAAAATAAGAAATAAGACTGGCTTTCTACACAGATAAAATTATTTTCTTGATGAATAATAATCCTAAAGCATTTACTAAAAACAAAACAAAATGCTAGGACTAGTAAGTAAGTTTACTACCAAGGTTGCAGAATATAAAGTCAATATACAAAAAATATCTATAGCATTTCCACTTACTAGCCAAAAGCCATACATAATATTAATGAATAAATTTAACCGAAGACTTTTAAGACTTGTATGCTGAAAACTACAAACTGCTGAAAAATCAAAGAAAACTAACTAAAGGGAGCGATATATTGTGTTTATGAGCTGGAAGACTCAATAGTGCTAAAAGATTTATTATTTCCAAATTGTTCTGTAGGTTTAACACAATACAATCAAAACAGCAGGTTTTTTATAAAATTTGACAACTTTATTTGCAATGTATATGAAAATGCAAACAATCTAGAATAGCCAAAAATATTTTTTAAATGATGAAAAAATTTGTAGTACTTATACTACCTGATTTCAAGAACTACTATACAGCTACAATAATAAAATAATGATAGCTATATAGCACAAAGGAACAAAAAAGAGAGTTCAGATAGTTTTTGAGAGAAGTGCCACGGTAATCAAATGTGAAAAGAACTGTTTCTTCAACAAATGGTTAGGAAATACTTCAATAATCATATACAATACAAATAAATCTTAACTTCTAACCTCCCCATACACAATATTTTTAAAATTAACACAAATGGGATCATAGGCCTAAATGTAACAGCTAAAACAACATAACTCTTAGAAGAAAGAATAAGAGAAAAAAACATCGTGACTTTGGTTTCTTATTTTACAAAAGCATATGCCATAAAAGAAAGAAAATTTTAATTGAACAAAATTAAAATATTTTATACTTCAAAAAATACTGTTAAGAAATTTAAAAAAACATGTCACAGATTAAGAGAAACTATTTGACAAACGCATATCTGACAAATTAACTTATACCCCAAATATACAATTAACTCTTAGGATAAGAAAACCAATTTTTAAAAATAAACAGAATATTTTAACACAAGCAGAACAAAAGCAGATATAAGACTGGCCAATAAACACATGAAAAAAATGCTCAACATTCGTCATGAGAACAATACAAAATTAAAACTACAATGAGGTACCACTACATAACCATTGAAATGACTCAAATTAACAAGATGGACAATGACCTGGACGCATATCTACCAGGATTTTCATATATTACTGATGAAATACAAAATTTTCCACTATAAAAAGCAATTTGCCTATTTCTCATGAAATGAAACACACACTTACCAAAAAAACAAACAAACAGCAATAGTGCTCTTACACATTTACTCAAGAGGTAGGAAAGTATGCCCACAGACCTATGTTCAAATGTTTATTGTAGTTTTATTTACAATAGCCAAAAACTGAAAACCCAAATGACCATCAACTAGTCAATGTATAAATAAGCTGTGGTCTATCTATAAAATGTAATACTACTCAGAATAAAAAGGAAATGAACAAACTACTAGTAAGCTACAACATGAATAATCTCAAAAGCATATGGTAAGTGAAAGAAGCCTGACAAACAGACTATAAAATGTGATTTTAATTACATCAAATTCTAGAAAAGGCAAAGTTAAGCAACCACAAAATAAGTCAGAGGTTGCAAGGCACAGGGGCTGGGGAGAAGGTATTGGCTTCAAACATAAACAAGGGAATTTGGGAAAGTAATGGAATTGTTCTAAATCATGATTGTGGTAGTGGTTACCAAACAATTCAAAACTTAGCAAACTATACTTTTTAAATTAATTTTACTATATGTATATTATGTCTTAATAGAGCTGACTTAAAAATACATAAATAAAAATAAACATGTGTTTTAAACTTACTGCAGCACTGCAACCGGGGAAATTGAAAAAAGTATCAGGACCATGTCTTTGTGGCATCTGATTAAGAACTGATAATAATTTTACTGCATGTCTTGGCTGAGGAAACAAGAAAAATAAATGGCATTGTACAAATTTAGCAAAAACACCTAACATATCACATTCGCCACCGAACTGTTGTTCTAACCAGAGAGAAAATTAATTTTAAATCATTTATGTAACTCTTTAAGAGGAAGAATTTCCATTACAAATTCAAGTTTATAGCTCTCTAGAGACAAATTATTGAACATTAAGTATTAATGTACTGATATTAGATACTTTTCATTCTGACCACAGCTTACCCAGATTCCACTTTCTCCTCGAAGCATGCTGAACAAAAGCTTCAACTCCTTGACAGTGATGCTGTAGCTGGCAAGAACCCCCAACATATCAACTAGAAGATCTTCAAAGGAAAATAAAGTTATTCTGAACTCTAGTCATGAGCTGCAATCTGTCAAGATGATACACTTTTTAAAAGAACAGAAGTTATCAAGTGTCATTTTAACATATATATAAAATATATAGCTAAATATCTTCATGAATAGTCATTCTAATTAATTTTTAAGTCATCAGAAAGCCAAGAAGTTATACGTAAGCTTTAGAATTTTTCCACATCAGGTATACCACTCCAATTAAGTTTTCTTAGCAAATAGATAAAATAGATTTTTATAAGTTCCCAGAACACAATACAAACACTTATACACACACACAATCCTGCTCTATGCAGGGAAAGCTAGGCAAAAATATGCAAAGGTACAATGACTTAATATTTTAAACTGGTTATTTCAAGTGAAAATATGATAGCCTACCACATTTTCATTTAGGAAATGTTTTTGAAATATTCCTTGGCACATTAACAAGTTTGAGCACTTACTCCTTGCCTGGCATTATTCCAAGTGGTTTAACTTCACAAATCCTCATAACAAGCCTATGAGGTAAATACTACTATCCCCTTCTGAAAATGAGGAAATTGAGGCATAGATAACTTAATCACATTTCCTGCAACACACTCTACTTAGTAAGTGGTAAAGTCAGAATTCAAACCTAGGTAATAAGGCTTCAGAGACCTCATTCTCTTACCCAACAGTCTCTAAATAGAAGTATCCTTTAAATGCACTACTAGTGATATGCATTATATCAATGTGTTTGTGTGCATATAAGAGACACACCAGTTCACCAAATAAGAAAAAAGAAATATATTTAATCCCTTGTCCCTGATTACTTTCTCATCTCTAGACATTGTGGTCATACCTCTATCAATTGTTTTTTCAAGAAATTAAACATCTAAATATTTTTACTTTACTTTCTTGATTTCTAACACACTTCTTAAGAATTAAAGATTCTACACAAGTTATTACAATCAATATACATATATATTCTAAATAATTAATCATTAATTAATAAAAAAGATTAGGTTAGGATAAGTTGAAATAATTAGTTACTGATATACTATATATATTATCCAATATCATAGATTAATAACTGGAATTTGAAACTTTAAAATATTTATGATGTATTTCAAAACAGAAATTTAACTGGTTATTTTCATCAATAAACAATTAACTAATTCTCACTGTCACAATAAGAAAGCAATCTCTATGATAAAATTGTGACAGTGAATATGCCATTTTTGAGAGAGATCTTTGAATAAAATAAAATGTTTCCTCATTCAAGTAACAAAATTTTCACAGTCAGAAGATATGGTTCTAAGAAAGAATTCTGGATGAAAGTCAAGCATCTTAAAATCCTAAGTTAATATAAAGTAGTCTAGGAAAGAATTCTGGATGAAAGTCAAGCATCTTAAAATCCTAAGTTAATATAAAGCAGTTTTAAACAATCAGCTTCAATGACAATCTTCAAAGATTTCTTAAAAGTTCAACTACGAATACTTTTTTGAAATATGTAATTTCCATTTCCAAACCTTTATCTCATCTCCTATGTATGTCAAAAAAAGTGGTGTATTAAATTTGTATTTAATTACATATTTATTAAAATTTCTTATTTATTATACATATAACATAACAAAGCAGCTCAGTTTAATGATGTAACAGGTCTTTTTTTCTGTACAACAAGATTTTTAAGGGAGAAAAAAAATACTAGAACTATTAAATTCTCTTGTCAATCTACTCCACCTTCTAGTGATACTTTCATATTATTGAATAAAAAGTATGCCTTTGAACTTATGCTACAAAAGAGTCTGAGTGAAAATTTAGTAGGGTTTTGGTGATTACTGATGCTTCATTAGTATAATATCTAAATTTTAATTTCTCTACTGAAAAGGTGGAGGTATTTTCTGATAGTTATTCAATGCTTAAAACAATAAAAAGTGAAATCCGTGTATATTATTGTTTAATACAAATAATACAAGAATTAAGAAGCTTACATAATAGAAACTTATGAAGATATGAATTTCTGTGATACTAGCACACCTACTATCACATCTCAATACTCATCAATTATTTACCTGTAACCACTATGTATGTAATTGTGGCTCATTTTGTAAAATGCACTCTATGAAGTGGTAGCCACTTTATTATTTACCAAAAAAAATTAAGGAGTTAAACTCAAACAAAGTATTCAAAGATCACATGATCATCAATAAAATGTGTACATATAACTTTATAAAAATAAATTCCTTTAAACAATGCTAGAATTTACAGAACTGGTACATCTACATTAAAAAGGTGTTTTGTTTTAATCTAACTTTTCAAGTAAATCATTAGTAAACAATCCAGAGAATGCTAAATCATTCTAAATAGATAGATGCCACCATGAAAGCAATTGAAAATGATTTTAATATAGTCTTTAATAAAGACAAAAATTTTAAAATACTATTTAAATTTAAAAAGCATTAATCATTAACCTAGTTTTCATTCCACTCTTTCTTGATTAAAGTTTTACTCTACTAATATTAATTAAAGCATAAATCAAAATAGCATAGTGAATTCTCTAGAGTCTGAAATATTTTTTTTATAGTCTTTATTGATTTCAGAGAGAGGAAGGGAGAGGGAGACAGACAGGAACATCAATGATGAGAGAGTCATTGGTTAGCTGCCTCCTGCACGTGCCCTGCTGGGAATCAAGCCTGCAATGTGGGCATGTGCCCTGACCAGGAACCAAACTGTGATCTCCTGGATCATAGGCCGACGCTCAACCACAGAGCCAAGCCGGCTGGAATGTCTGAACTATTTTTAAGGATCAGATATGATATTGTGAGGAGTCACATTAGAACATTTAGAATTATGAAAACCTTTTCATGTCAGAAGAAACGTATGCTAAAGATTCATGGCTTAAGAGAATCAGCACTTCAAAGTATAAACTTATTTTCTGGGAATGACTATTGCTCTGGGACTATCTTTCAAACTATGTGTACTTGAGTCTATCTAACCACAAAGACGAATGAACTGGCAAGGAGGTAAAGAACAGGTGGTGAAGAATCATAGACTTCAAAGTTATTATTTAAAATAACACATAACAAGCACAAGAATTAATATTTTTATCTTGAAATTTCATAACTTTATATTCTATTCCACAATATATCTGTTTATTTTCATACAAATGTTTCTTCAAAAATAGTCAAGTGAAATGGACACTTCCAAAAAATAACAAGTCTATCTTAAGACTATTAGTTCCTCCTGTTCCATGTATGCCAAATTGAAGAGCACAGAGTTCCAAGAATCGATAAAGTGCCCATTATACAGAAATATAATATGTATTGTGATTTTAATTATGGAAAAATTTAATTAAGTACTATATAGAAAGTACTAATTATTTTTCTGGTAGATTTCATAGCACTTATTTGTATGACTGAGATTTTCTAAAGCCTGGAAAAGGAAAATTAGTAATTGTGTTTCCCTATACAAAAGAAGTCATCCTCCATTTGCCAGGTTTTCCCTTAATATAAATAAAAAGCAAATTTTCCACACATTTCTATTTACCTATTTAAAAACAAGGTAGCTTCAACAAATCTATATTACCTATAGAATATAAAGAGAAATACATAAATCTCTATAAACATTTAAATTATATTTTCCTGTCACATAACCTCATACCTGCTATCATGTCATCTACAGCACTCATTTTCAGCAATACTTGTTCAATTAGCCCAACTTCCGTGCTAGTCTGTAAATTCCGAACACTTTTTCGTAGAATGGCTGTAAACATGCTCCATATTTCTGCTTGACATGTTACATCACAGTGCTCCAAAAGCTCTGTCATGCATGTTATACTCTCAGCATCCTGGATAATAAAGTTCATCTCCAAGTCAAATTCTCCACCAACCAGCTGAAAAGAAACAAAAAGACACAATAATTAATAATAAAGAGGGAGGTTATTTATAACAATATAATAATACCAAACATTCAACTAGCAAGAAAGCATAGCTATTCTAGAAAATTTCAAGTCCTCTAGTCTAAAACTAATTTGATAACAATTTGTAAGATATAGATAAAGTGAACACAGGTGCTTTATAAGAATTAAAATTGCAAAGAGAAATCAATTTTTTTAAGTGGAAAAATATGATTTCAAATCTAGAATAAGAAAGGGAAATAGAGAATATGATTCCTGGGTAGAATTCAGGAAAACTTCCTACAAAAAAAATGGGCTTGGATCTTAAAAGTCATAATCATTACAAGATGAAATTTAAGTATAAATATTAAGACATAAAATATAAATGCTGAAATGAGAGAACCAATGTTGAAGAGTTTAAAAGAGAAATACCTAACATCTTGCAATTCTTTAAAAATTATGTGAATTGGGGAGGGGGGAAGATGGCATCACTGTTACAAGAAGCAGAGTGCCCTTACTTCCACCCACGGACTCAATTTACTGCTAAAATACTGCATAACCAGTTTGGAAAAAAACAGAGAAATATACCTGAGTGGACATATTTAGAGTAGGGAGCACTGAAGAAACATCATAGAGTCTGGTAAGGAACGGAGCATAAAAAGGGGGGGATAGAGGCTGCAAAGCTACCTCCCCTTGGGAGTGTGGACTGGCATCCAAAAGCTGGGATCTCAAACCCAGGGCAGAGAAGAAAGGAAGGAGAGCCCTGCATGGAGAGCAGAGTGACTCAGGGGAATAGTGTGCCTGCAAGAAGAGGACCACGACTTCCTAGTGAAACAAAGCTTCTAATGGGGGCCGCAACAGGCATCTTTGACACCCCATGCTGACCATAGAAAGGCGGCCCCACAGTGTGTGGCCACAGAATAGAAAGGAGCCAGAGGGCTACACTGAGCAGCCATGGTACAGGGAATCTCTGCCTTCCTGTAAGGCATTGTATAGAACCCCAGAAAGCACTTGATCTATGTGTTGTGGAGAAAGGGAAGAGAGCCCTCCCACCACCAGAGGCAGACAGGAGCTGCCTAGGGGCGGGTCGGTTCTCTAGCTAGCTGAGCTCCAGGAAGGGCAAATCTGGGATTTTTGGCCTGCCCTGAGGGGTGCCGGAATAGCACTCAAGGAGCTGCCCCATTTACTGAGATCAGCTGTGCAGGGAAGCTGCGTGGGACTAACATTGTGACCCCTCCTGATTGGTGCCTAGGTACCAGGGAGGCAGGACTTTGCAGGAAGGATTCTGTGCTTGTGTGTTGCTTTCTGCATTTTTGAGTTTTTGATCGCTGAACGGACGTTCACCTTCCTGGCTTGCATGGGGGAGATAGACCAGAGAAAGCTGGGATTTATGTCTGCATTGTGGAGAAATTGAAATTAGCGCCCCCTGCAATGAACAAACCAAATCTGTGAAAGGAGGGGCAGAGCAAGCCTACCTCTCCTGTAGGCTAGGAGTACCACCCCCAACAGGAAAGGGGCTGGTTCAGCTCACCGAAGCCCCAGATATCCCCTGCAGGGCACAGTCCTACAGCAGAAGGGAGAACAGCTCACAGGACCACAATACATGAATAAGTCTCTCAGAGACTGTTTGGGAACTGGAGAAAAGCTTAAAACCACTGCAGGGGACTGGGCAGGCAAACTGCTCATCTGAATGTTTTTTAATCGAACCCACTGAACCCAGGATGCTGAAACTGCCCATACAGAAAAGGCAACAGACTAAAGTCAATCTGCAACTTCAACAGGCCACGGTATGGGGAAATAGAATTGGAGCATAGGGTAGAGTCTAAGGAGTTTGTTTTGAAGCAGAGACTAACTTCTCCACAGTGAGTGCCTGACAGCAAAACCTCTAAGTATGGGGAGCAATAGCCAGAGCTACACTAGCCAGCCTGCACCTTAAATACTCTTCAAAAGACAGTGGAGTAACACGGGGCAACGACAAGGGGAAGGCAAAATAGCTGACTCCAAAGAGAGCCTCAGATCAGGCAACTACTTAAGGATATCAGAGCAAATCCTAGACAGCTCCTGACATTGGCTGACACACAAGTACCTCACAAGAGAACTGAAATCAGCATACAAAACAGTGAGCTTCAGACAATATAAGCTTCCCAAATGAAACTCATCAGACTACTTTTTTTCTCCTCCTTAGGAAAAAGAGAGGAAAACAATTCCCTTTTTAAATTTTTAAATTAATTTTTTTTTTTGTTTTGTTGTGCTTGTTTCAGGGTTTCTTTTTTATTTGTTATGTTTTGTCTTTCTTCTATTATTAAGATTTTCTTGATATTCTCTGCTTAATTACTGGGACAATATCATTATAACTAATAAGTTTACTGCTTTTCTCTATCGTTTCCCCTGTATCTCTAATTGCACTCCCTTCCCTGCCCCTTGCTTTATCTCTCTCTCTCTTCTCGTTCCATTGGCATAACTTTTTTTTTCTTTCTTTTCTCATTCTCCCTTCTGTCTTCCTGTTTTTTATTTGTCTGTTTGCATTTGTCTCTTTAATGTATTTTTATTTTTTCATTTTCAGATATTTTCCTATTCCTACACTTTACCTTTAATTATTTCCTAGTACTTCGTTCAGAATCTTTATTCTGCACGTTTTATCTCCTAGTAGCTTCTCTTTTTTTTTACTTTTTATTTTAGTTTATTACTTTTTCTTTTTCATTACTATTAGCAATAATATCCTTTTCTCTATCTTTTTTTCTCTTTTCTTTTTTTTTTTTTTTTTGCTTTAGCATTTGTGTTCTCACTTCATTCTCCCAATTCTACTTTTACTTGGGATATTTTCATTGTGATTGTCAGGATATTTTGTAAGATACTGCTTGATTCCTGGAAGTATGGCTGTGTACTGTCTTGCCTTGCCAGCACTTGAGCAACAGCTCACACAATGTGGTTGGGGCTGAGAAAACAGTCAGCCTGAGAGGAGAGTATTCACAAGAACAGGTCAACAACAATCTACATGCAATCACATCAGGAGAGCCCAAAGAACTCACAAAAGGGACACCACAAAAGACACAAGCACAGAGCAAACAGCTCAGAAGTATAAGGAAAACACACCCCTGGGCTCTATTGGACATACACTACAAAATCTCACCCTAAAAGACTGGGAGACAGCAAATATATCTAAAATACAGACACAAACACTAAGAGCCACCAAAAAGAGGACACAAAGAAACAACCCCCAAACTAAACAAAGGGAAATATGGCCAGAAAAAGACCTAATGAGAAAGAGTTAAGAAAGTTATCAGAAATAGAGTTCAGATTAGTGGTTATAAAGATGTTCAAGGAAATTAATGAGAACAACAAGACACTTAATAGAAAGGTTGAAGAACAGTGAAAAAATGATAAAAGTGCTAAATATCATAAATAAGAATCAAGAAGAAATGAAAAATACTGTTCTGATAACAAGAATACACTGGAAGGTATTAAAAACAGGCTCAGTGAAGCAGAGGATAGACTAAATGACTAGAAAATAAGGTAGAAAAAAACAATCAAAGCGGCAAAAACAAAACAAAACAAAAAAAAAAAACACTTAAAAACCATGAGAACAACCTAAGGGAGATCTGGGACAAAATGAGGCAAAACAACATTAGCATCAAAGGGGTGTCAGAGAGGGAGGAAACAGAGCAAGGTATCGAGAAATTGGTGGAAAGAATTATGAAAGAAAACTTCCCCACGCTGGCGAAAGAGTAAGCTACACAAGTTCAGGAAGCACAGAGAGTTCCAAACAAGATGGACACAAAGAGACCCACTCCTAGACACATCATAATTAAAATGGCAAATGTCAAGGACAAAGAGGGAATATTAAGGGCTGCAAGAGAGAGACAAGCAGTGACCTACACGGGAATCCCCACAAGGCTGACATCAGATCTCTCAACAGAAACTCTTCAGGCCAAAAGGGAGTGGCATGAAATTCTGAAAGTAGTGAAAAGCAAGAACCTGCAACCAACTGTTTTATCCAGCAAGGCTATCATTTAAAATTGAGGGTGACATAAAGAGCTTCCCAGACAAAAAAAGACTAAAGGAGCTCAGTACCACCAAACCAGTACTGCAAGAAATGCTAAAAGGACTGCTTTAAGAAAAAGAAGAAATACTGAAAGAAAGGCACATCAGCATAAAGGCAAAAATTGGCATTAAGTAAGTATATATCAATAGTAACATTAAATGTAAAAAGAATAAACGTTCCTATCAAAAGACACAGGTAGCAGAATGCATAAAAAAACAGGATCCAAATATATGCTTTCTACTAGAGATCCACCTGAGAGCAAAAGATTCACACAGGTTAAAAGTGAAGGGATGGAATAAAATATTCCACGTAAATGGAAACCAAAAGAGCCAGAGTAACAATACTAATTTCTAACAAAATAGACTTCAAAGATGGTCACTACATAATACTAAAGGGATTGATCCAAAAGGAAGAAATAACCTTTATAAATATATATGCACCCAATATACAAGAACCTAAATATATAAAAAATTTCTTGGTGAACTTTAAGGGGGAGATTGACAGCAACACAATCATAGTGGGGAAATTTAACACCCCACTGTCATCATTGGACAGATCATCAAGACGACAATCAACAGGGAAACACGGAACTTAAATGACACACTAGATCTAATTAACTGACATTTACAGAATATTTCCTCCCAAAGCAGCAGAATACACATTACATTCTTCTCAAGTGCACATGGAACATTTTCAAAAGTAGACCACATGTTAGGGCACAAGGCAAGTCTCCACAAATACATGAAGACTGAAATCATATCAAGCATCTTCTTGGATCACAATACCATGAAACTAGGAATCAACAACGATAAAAAAAACTCAAAAATAGTCAAACACATGGAGGCTAAATAGCATGTTATTAAACAATGAATGGGTTACCAATGAGATCAAGGAAGAAATCAAGCACTTCCTGGGGAAAAAAAAATGAACAGACAACAACCCAAAATCTATGGGA